AAATAGAAAAAATAATAAATAATCACAGTACATTAAAAACAGTAAAGATAAAAGTCCTTCAGTTGTTGCAGAAAACCTGGATTTGAACATTGTCAGAGAAAAAGCCTGTCTCACATTTTCAGGAAGATTGTATCAGATTTTATTTGCATGACTCTGAACCACTGCCTCCTCGTGTTTAGTTCTGACTCTGGGACCAGAAGGAGGCCAGTCCCTGTGCTCCTCAGAGTCCCAGCAGGAGGCCAGTCCCTGTGCTCTTCAAAGTCCCAGCAGGAGGCCAGTCCCTGTGCTCCTCAGAGTCCCAGCATGGGGCCAGTCCTTGTGCTCCTCAGAGTCCCAGCGGCCTCTGACGACTCTGTTTACTCTCATTCTAAGTGTGCACAGTTAAAGATGTGCCTCCACAGTGGGCCTGTTGTTCAGGCCTCTCATTATAAGTGGTGAAGATGTTGTTTGGTAAATCTTTCCCACTTCAGTTAATTTAGCATATTATAAGGTGTTACTCTACTTTCCTCTTGTTCCAACACAAACCGACCTGCAGCTGTCTTTATCTCCATCCATCCTCACACAAACAGACCCAGGGAAGACTCTTTGATCAAAGAAACACTGTGCACCAAGAGCCTGGTCTCCAACATGTCTGTCCATGGTCTGTCCATGGTCTGTGCATGGTCTGTCCATGGTCTGTCCATGGTCTGTACATGGTCTGTCCATGGTCTGTCCATGGTCTGTACATGGTCTGTCCATGGTCTGTGCTCATGCTCGCACCATGGACGTCCCAAATATTTGCAGAAGTGACACGTTCTGGTTCTTCTGGTGCAGTATGTGTGCTGTGGTCCTACTACCACAAGACCAGGAGGTATGGGAGCGCTCTGACCAATCAGAGCACCTCAGAGAGAGAGAGACCAGAGTTTAAGCTGCAGCAGCCTCCACATATCATTCATCAAGCCACATAAACAGCGCCCTCTGCTGGGAGCCTCACAGACTCCATGTGCTCTGGCTGGAGCAGAGATCAGGAAAAATACCGCTGCTTGAGTCTCTACGGTTCTCATGGCTGTTACAAACCTCCTCCTCGCGCCTCTGCTGTCGTCTCCGCTGATTGGTTGAGCGTGGAAGTGAAACAACAATGATTGTTTTGCCCGAAAAAAGTAGGAAGTTTGTTTATAAAGGAGTCATTAACATTGGTGATAATTGGTCGACATTAATTACAAGTTTCATAAAGAGATATTTCCCTTTTATTATAGAATGTGACAGGTATTTATTTGTCTGTAATGTGGCAATACCATGGAACAAACAGCCAAAATCCAGTCAAATCGGAGTCATTAGCCCCTGAACAAGTCTGGTGAACTAAAGTAGCCCTCTTACTAAAAATTCACATTTGGACAAAATGGAAATCTTATAGTTTTCACATTAAAGTGTGAGAACAGAGATGACATGTTCCTTTCATTCCTGTGTCTTTATTTCAACACTGACTTTCCATTTCCTGCTCGTCAGATTTACAGCTGGATTCCCCCAGGTGAGATGTGGATGTCTGCAGCTCCTCCAGAGAAACCATTGGCCTCGTGTCTGCATCCATGATCAGTGTCCGCATCCATGATCAGTGTCCTTATTTGAGCTGTAGTTTCAACAGCCGTGTCTTGGTAAGTTTGCAGTGGTTCATACACGTTCAGAAGCTGAATGGATTGAACACTGCTCTGAGACGTTCAAAGTTCGGAAAATGTTAAACTGCTTTAAACCTCCTCTTCCTTGACCTGTCTGTGGTGTTCTCCTTGGACTTCATGATGCTGTTTAGTGACCTGACCTCAAAGTCCTCACACAAGTAAATCGCTCACAGGAGGGCTTTACTTCATCCTTAGTGCATTTATTTCTGATATTTGTCATTCACTTGTCACTTTACTGTTATTACATATCCGTCTGTCATTACTAGTCACTTTACCTGTTATTATTGCTTTACCTGTTATAGCTCCTTAGCTCCAGTTCATTTGATTCTATTTTTACCATCTTATTTTAATTCTGTCTATTGTCCTAAATAATAGACTCTGCTGTAATGTGCGTAACAATGACACTGGAATCTCCCCACTGTGGGACGAATAAAGGAATATCTTATCTTAATAGACTCAGAAAATGCTGACTGATTTCTCACTAGTTTTTAAGTAACAAATGTTCAATTATGCTTTAACTTTAATTATTTGTTACTTTGTTCTGGTGTTTCATTAAAAAGATTAAATAAAAATGTGATCACTTGGGCACTGAAAACCATTTAGCAGAATGTCTCCAGACGTTACATGTCTCTTAGAGCCTCTAGTTTCATAATATGGTGGTGCTGAAACATCTCTCCTGGTTACTATGGTAACTGTCAAAAGTCAGATGTCAGTTTCTCTGCATTTCCCAGAACAATCCACAAAACTATTACTGTCAAAGTTCTATTTGGTCTTACCCAGCATTTATCACCTATTGTCTCAGTATTTTCTCATAAAAGGTGCCGAGAAGTGGTGAAAAAAAATCAAAAACGAATGCATGAAGTTGGATAGAAGAGAGATCAGCGAGAGAGAGACTACACAAGAGACCAGGGAGAGACCAAAGAGGGACCAAAAAGACCAGTGAGAGAGAGACCACAGACAAAGACCAGTGAGAGAGAGAGACCACAGACCAAGACCAGTGAGAGAGAGAGAGACCACAGACAAAGACCAGTGAGAGAGAGAGAGACCACAGACAAAGACCAGTGAGAGAGAGAGACCACAGACCAAGACCAGTGAGAGAGAGAGACCACAGACAAAGACCAGTGAGAGAGAGAGACCACAGACAAAGACCAGTGAGAGAGAGAGAGACCACAGACAAAGACCAGTGAGAGAGAGAGACCACAGACCAAGACCAGTGAGAGAGAGAGACCACAGACCAAGACCAGTGAGAGAGAGAGACCACAGACCAAGACCAGTGAGAGAGAGAGAGACCACAGACAAAGACCAGTGAGAGAGAGAGACCACAGACCAAGACCAGTGAGAGAGAGAGACCACAGACCAAGACCAGTGAGAGAGAGAGAGACCACAGACAAAGACCAGTGAGAGAGAGAGACCACAGACCAAGACCAGTGAGAGAGACCACAGACCAAGACCAGTGAGAGAGAGAGACCACAGACAAAGACCAGTGAGAGAGAGACCACAGACCAAGACCAGTGAGAGAGAGACCACAGACCAAGACCAGTGAGAGAGAGAGAGACCACAGACAAAGACCAGTGAGAGAGAGACCACAGACAAAGACCAGTGAGAGAGAGAGAGACCACAGACAAAGACCAGTGAGAGAGAGACCACAGACAAAGACCAGCGAGAGAGAGACCACAGACAAAGACCAGTGAGAGAGAGACCACAGACAAAGACCAGCGAGAGAGAGAGAGAACCACAGACAAAGACCAGTGAGAGAGACCACAGACAAAGACCAGTGAGAGAGACCACAGACAAAGACCAGTGAGAGAGAGAGAGACCACAGACAAAGACCAGTGAGAGAGAGAGAGACCACAGACAAAGACCAGTGAGAGAGAGAGAGACCACAGACAAAGACCAGTGAGAGAGAGAGAGACCACAGACAAAGACCAGTGAGAGAGAGAGAGACCACAGACAAAGACCAGTGAGAGAGAGAGAGACCACAGACCAAGACCAGTGAGAGAGAGAGAGACCACAGACCAAGACCAGTGAGAGAGAGAGACCACAGACAAAGACCAGTGAGAGAGAGAGAGACCACAGACCAAGACCAGTGAGAGAGAGAGACCACAGACAAAGACCAGTGAGAGAGAGAGAGACCACAGACAAAGACCAGTGAGAGAGAGACCACAGACAAAGACCAGCGAGAGAGAGAGAGACCACAGACAAAGACCAGTGAGTGAGAGAGACCACAGACAAAGACCAGTGAGAGAGAGAGACCACAGACAAAGACCAGTGAGAGAGAGAGAGACCACAGACAAAGACCAGTGAGAGAGAGAGAGACCACAGACAAAGACCAGTGAGAGAGAGAGAGACCACAGACCAAGACCAGTGAGAGAGAGAGAGACCACAGACAAAGACCAGTGAGAGAGAGAGACCACAGACAAAGACCAGTGAGAGAGAGAGAGACCACAGACCAAGACCAGTGAGAGAGAGAGACCACAGACAAAGACCAGTGAGAGAGAGAGAGACCACAGACAAAGACCAGTGAGAGAGAGAGACCACAGACAAAGACCAGTGAGAGAGAGACCACAGACAAAGACCAGTGAGAGAGAGAGAGAGACCACAGACAAAGACCAGTGAGAGAGAGAGACCACAGACAAAGACCAGCAAGTGAGAGAGAGACCACAGACCAAGACCAGTGAGAGAGAGACCACAGACCAAGACCAGTGAAAGAAAGACCAAAGAGGGACCTCAAAGACCAGTGAGAAACCAGAGACAAAGACCAGTGAAAGAGAAACCAGATAGGGACCACAAAGAACAGTAAGTGAGAGATCAGAGATATCAGAGAGTAGAGACCAAGGAGAGAGCATAAGAATAATATGGCAGCTTTGTGAATCTAACGACGATAAAAGAATGATCTGAGGAAACATTGTCTTCTCCTCAGAGTTGTATCGCCTCCTACGTGACTTCACTGCAGCCTTTTGGTTTGAATAAAAATAACAACAACTTATTTAACACATTGAAAAATACAAAACAATTTAATATACAGCCGTTTAAAACAATGGAGCCGGTAAAATCACTGGTGACGGTGCTCATGCGGAGACAGCGGCGGCGTCTGTTAAAAGTCTCTCATCTCGGAAGGAAAACAAAGCGTAAAAACGGTTTATTCTCGTCAAAACAAAAAAAACGCTGGTACAGTTCATTTGCCGACCAGCGCTTCAACTTAAAACCAAAGAGGAAAGGTCCCGTCTGTGCTGGTCCCACGGGGTAAAAAAAAGGAGAAGACTGGTGTGGTGGATGGGGTAAAAGCGGATAAAAAGGCTGGCGCTGCTGATGCTGGAGGAGGTGGAGGTGGAGGAGGTGCAGCAGTGGTCAGTGCTTGTCCTCCTGACTCGACGTGGACAGACCATTCTGCGTCTGGCTCGTCCCCGACCCCAGACCGTACAGGCGCCCGCAGTACTTGGCGTCGTCGATGTTGTCCTCGAAAAAGAGCTGCGGAAGAACACAAGGTCAAGAGATTTTAAGTTTTGGGCTTAAAGCTGCGGTACGTGATTTTCACTCTGTGCAATGAAGCCCGTGTCACTGATTCCATCATGTTTTTGTGCCTCTGTCGCATTGTTGGATCAGTTTTTACAGAGAGAAAAGTGAGGGAGCGAGAGAGAGACAGGGACATAGCCCAGAGTGAGAGAAAGAAAGATAGAGAGAGACCAGAGCACGAGAGAGCCCAGAGAGAGCAAGAGAGACCAGAGAAAGAGAGAAAGTGACATAGCCCAGAGTGAGAGAAAGAAAGAGAACGAGAGACCAGAGAGTGAAAGAGACCAGAGAAAGAGAGAAAGTGACATAGCCCAGAGTGAGAGAGAGCAGAGAGCGAAAGAAAGACAGCCCAGAGAGAGAGAGAGAGAGAGAGAAAGAGAGAAACAGACTAGGGGATAGACAGAGAGAGGGTGCCCTGCCACACAGAGTGACTGTGGTTCTGTTGTGAGAGAGTGTTTGTGCAGAAAGAGAGAGCACCTCTTTCATCCTGAAGAAGGCCATCCCTGTGAGTAGAGAGTCAGAGCCGGCCTGGTGCTGTCGACCAATCCGCTTCAGCTCCAGCTGATCGGCCACTTCCTGCAGCCCGCCCTGCAACACGAAACAGCTGTGACCCCAGAGACTCATCCAATAAACTACAACAGATGTTTTAGATTTAAAGATACAATAGTTCATGTTCAGATAATCGATGGAAAACACATTTAAAGTTGAAATAAGTGACATGTGTTTTCTCTAAAGCAGTGCAGGTGCTGAGGAGGAAGAAACGTCTGTTACACTCTCCCTTCTCGGCTCTCCCTCGCACTACTCCCCTCTCTGCCCTCTCGGCTCTCTCGCGCTCTGCCCTCTCGGCTCTCTCTGCTCTCTCTCTCTACAGCTTGATCTCCCTCTTTATGCCACAATCATGTATGTCATCACATTATCCTTTCATCACTTTAATGACACAGACACCCGTTTGCCTCGGCTCCTGACGTCAGTGACTGTAAAAACATGTAGACCTCGCACCTTGAGGTTCTTGCAGCTCTTCATGAGATATTTGACATCGTAAATCGCCGGAAAGAAAAGGTTGAGGATCTGGAAGAAGTCGTGCTCCTCCTCCGGGAGCCGTGCGTCCGTGAGCAGCTTCACCAAGTATCCAAAGTCATACCCACTGCAACAGAACCACACTTTTACAATCTCAGAAACACTGAATCAAGGCATCGAACGATCTATGTTTTTCAGGGCTGACTCCAGTGTCAAGCATGAGGCTGAAAACAGATTTATATAATAATAAATCTGTTTTATGTCCCAAAAAAATAATTATACAGCACTTTTGGGCACTCAAAGACTTATCCACACAGGAGGCTTGTCTGAAGGGTCTTGTTCTCTGGCCTCTGTCTCTCTCGCTCTCTGGCCTCTGTCTCTCTCGCTCTCTGGCCTCTGTCTCTCTCTGGCCTCTGTCTCTCTCTGGCCTCTGTCTCTCTCTGGCCTCTGTCTCTCTCTGGCCTCTGTCTCTCTCTGGCCTCTGTCTCTCTCTGGCCTCTGTCTCTCTCTGGCCTCTGTCTCTCTCTGGCCTCTGTCTCTCTCTGGCCTCTGTCTCTCTCTGGCCTCTCTGTCTCTCTCTGGCCTCTGTCTCTCTCTGGCCTCTGTCTCTCTCTGGCCTCTGTCTCTCTCGCTCTCTGGCCTCTGTCTCCCACACAAGAGGATGATGTTACTGACCTGTGGAAGGAGAGCCACTTGACGTTCTCGCAGAGCACGAGGCCTGAGGTCATGAGCAGCTCTGCAAAGTAGAGTGTGTCGATGCCCTCCTCCTCGTGCTTCTTAAATTGCAGCCCAGAGTTCTGCAGGAGATCTATGGAGTCCTGCGAGTACATGTCCTCTCTGACAACAACAAGACAATAGCTCATCAGCCAGGGTCCCTCTCTGGGCTCCCACCCTCTCTGGGCTCCCACCCTCTCTGGGCTCCCACCCTCTCTGGGCTCCCACCCTCTCTGGGCCCCCACCCTCTCTGGGCTCCCACCCTCTCTGGGCTCCCACCCTCTCTGGGCTCCCACCCTCTCTGGGCTCCCATCCTCTCTGGGCTCCCATCCTCTCTGGGCTCCCATCCTCTCTGGGCTCCCATCCTCTCTGGGCTCCCATCCTCTCTGGGCTCCCATCCTCTCTGGGCTCCCATCCTCTCTGGGCTCCCATCCTCTCTGGGCTCCCACCCTCTCTGGGCTCCCATCCTCTCTGGGCTCCCATCCTCTCTGGGCTCCCACCCTCTCTGGGCTCCCATCCTCTCTGGGCTCCCATCCTCTCTGGGCCCCCATCCTCTCTGGGCTCCCATCCTCTCTGGGCTCCCACCCTCTCTGGTCATGGAGGTCCTGTAGACTTGCGACTCACGTGAGGTTAAACTTGAAGTTGAACTGCCAGGTGGTGATGCCGTTGGGGTAGTCCCCGTCCTCATTCATGAAGGAGAGGCCGAGCTGGATGATCTTCAGGAGGTCCACGTTACAGCGCAGCAGCTGGTACTGGTAATCTACTGTACTGCGGAACTCTCCTATGGGCCGCACCACCACGCCTGGGAACTCTGTGTCCTGAGGAGAGGGAGGACCGGGGGTTAGAGAGGGTCCACACTCAGGAAGAGAACAGTGACCTGCGAGAGGGGCATGGTGATCCAGATTATTCCAGTCACAATAAAACCAGGGAAGCTTCAGGTTTGGAATCACCTACTTACATACGCAGGGCGTAAAGTGAAAAAAACATTACTTCAAGGAAAAACTGCAAACATTCCACCAGGCACTTGCATGTGCAGAGCTGCTGCTCCGTGTATATAATTTTTTTTCTCAAGGCCAAAAGCGCCATAGCAAAGAGCCCAGAGGACTCTAGAGCCGCCACAAGCCTTGCTTCAAAATTCACACGAGTTCACACTCAGGGAGATCACTCACAATCACTATTTGAGAAATTGTATGTTAATGCTCACACTTCTCTCACTTATTGTTAGTGGTTGGAAGCTCTCTCTGGAGTCAGTCTCGCTCATTCTTCTTGACAAAAAGCCTCAGTTCCTGTATATTCCTGGGCTGCCTTGCATGTACTTCACATTTGAGATCTCCTGAGAGCGACTCAATGGTGTTATTTGATAATAGTCTATAATAGCTTCACAAAACCTCAAACACTGAGTGAAAGACGTGTTTAATTCATAATCTCCAGAATAAAGCCACAACAGTGCCATCCGTTACCATGGCGATGTAGTTGAAGCTCTGGATGGCGGCCCGGATCTTGTGCATCTCCTCCTCCACATTGGACGCCCAGACCTCGCAGATGATCTGACTCGAGTCGGTGATCGCCGCCGGCATCGTGTCTGCCGTCGCCACGGAAACCAGCCTCCAATCAGAGCGCGAGCAGCAGGCGCCCGTCCAGCACGCAGGAAATCAGCTGAGGAGAGGAAAGGCAGTTTTAATATCAGGACCACCACTCAATCAATCAGGTCTCAGCTCAACGAGTCAAATAGTGACTCACAGGGCTCTATTGTTCAAGTATGCAAAAGTGAACATGCTTTCTGGTAAGATGAAGACAGAGGCAGGTTGTGGTCTGATTGGTTCAGAAAATTATCAGTACGAGAATTGGATCATGCCATTTAGACCGTATGTTTAAGGCTAGGGTCCGCAACTTCCGAACCACAACAATGGAAGTCTGTAAAAATCCATGTCACTGGGTTTCTGGCCCCAAAAGACTTTCCATCCACTAGTTTGGCATGTGCCTTTAGCCTCAGTCACATCTTTAAATTAGCTTTCCCAGAGAGATCAGAAAGAGACCAAAGAGAGAGACCAGCGGGCAACCAGAGAAGTCTTATAACTAGTTTACACATGTATGTTTTTTGACCTGTCACATCTTCGGATCAGATTATTCAGACAGAAGTGGAAAAGACAGGACCACCCTCACCCATCAGTGACTCACAGAACTATTGCTTATCCATAGGTTATGAAAAATATTACATATTTTCAAATGAGACACAGGCAGCATGTTATGTTGTGATTTGTTGAAACCCTAGCAGCTACAGTTAACGTTGACAAGACTCTTTCTGCTGGAACAAACAGGTGTTATTTATGAGAGAAACACCAGCTTAGTTAAAGATACCAGTAGTTTACATAACAGACAACTAGACTTGGCACAAGAGCAGTTCCTTGGTGTTTTCCGTTAGTCGCTTTGACAGATCCATTTCATCACAATATTGATGCTAAACAGTGGTTTATCAAAACACTGAACAATAAGATTGAAAAATAACAGTAAAACCTCAAATATAAAAACAGTGTTTGTCAGAATAATCACATGTGTATATTTTATCCAGAATCACAGGCTGTAACCGAATGAGAAGCTTAAAGCCAAGTATTTTGACAACAACGGAGATGTTAGCTTCAGCGGCTAACTGCTAACTAGCGCGCCAAGCTTATCCGCTCATAAACCCTCACATTTTAATACTGGAAAACCTTCAGATAAGGGCGAGTGTTTGGGTCTAAAGTTGCACATTAATGCTCGGGGATTGTGGTGTGATAAACACGCAAAAAATCTGGAGTTTGTACCTTTTTATCCGGACGAGCAGAGCTGGAGACGGCGCTGGATTCTCCGCGTGTTCCGCTTTCCGCTGTGAGCACTGCCCCCCGCGGCCACATCCGGTACTACATCCATCTGCATTATTTATCATACATCTATCTTGGAAAAAAGCTGGTCTGCACTCATCCATATTATTTATAATACATGCATGTAGAAAAAAACTGCTCTTAAAAGACTAGAGCCAAAAGTTAGTGATGGCAATATGAAGCCCCATGAAGCCTTGAGGGATCGCAGCCTATTACTCGGCCCATGAGTCGAAGGCTCAAGGTGATTCATGCTCCACTACGCCATCATGTGGACAAAAAATACATAACACTCTTAAGTGCTTACAATGAATGGTGAGATCTAATGTTAAAATGTATATTTACAATCTATGGTCTAACGTGTTGTGTTTGAAATGATGCTTCATGAACTATGAACTATTTGAGTCTTTCAGTCAATTGTGTTGATACAACAAACACATCCAAAGTAATACAGTTCTACAGAAAGTGATTAATGGAGGAAAAACTACCAAGAGGTGGATTAATTAAACACAACAAACCATTTATTCCCAATAAATAAATACATTTACTTTGCAACACAAAATTTATTATGGGTAGACCAGGATTCGAACGCTATATCTTCTGCTTCGGAGTCCGTCATATACCGACTGCGCCACACAGCTGTTGTGAAATGTATTATCCAGCGTATTATTACTAATAACTTGAAGCCTTGATATATGAGGTTTTACTAAAGTGAAAAGTTTTTAATTGTATTTCATATGAAGTAGTTTCTCTATACTTAGTACAGGACTGCTCCACATCACGCACACACACGTACGCACACACACACACACGTACGCACACACACACACGTACGCACACAGAGGCAGACGGGGACAGCCAATACAGTCTATGGTACAGCCGCGGATCACAAAGCACCTGTCAAAGCAATGCACTCTCCGAACTATATGAACCACTATATGAACCGTCACGTGGTGCGACCGCTACGCGAGGCTTCGAACGTCACCACACACGTGACCAATACACGCCTCGACCCACACTTCACAAGAAACGCCCCCAGATTACTCGGTCCACGCTTCGAAGACTCGGTCCGCTCAGCACATCACTACTGATAGAACCTCACTGGTCTCTCTCTGATCTGACTCTGGTGTGACTCTGGTCCCTCTCTGGTCTCTCTCTCCTTTTTCTTTCTAAAAAAGCTGTGACAGGCCACATATACATGCATGTGAAAACTATGTTTGCAGATTGAATAAAACACACCTTAAACATTTTGTGTTTATATTAAACCAATAAAACACTACTTTTGTTTTATATTATAAATTTATAATATTGGAACAGCACATTAGTGCAGTCTTTGAGATCATAAACACTGGTTATCCAGCCAACTTCAGCTAAGCCAATATAGACATGTCATACCTTGTTGAAAAGATGAGAACCTATAGAATTCAACTTTTTTGTATTAACTGATGTGTGTTTTTGGTTGTGTCACAAAATTCCATTAATGGTCGTCATTCAACCAACTTCAGCCCCACTAAAACATGTACAATAGGTCGGGCAGTTGCCTCCTCTAAGCGACCCCGTTCCCATCTCTGTGTGGAGACAAATGCCAACCACAATTGTGAAGTGCTTTGTGACTCTGGTCTATGAAAGGTGCTATATAATTAAAGGTTACTTATATACTACTAATGTGTGCATGTCCTAAAAGTCTCCTGTAGTGTTGAAAATGATTATCTGGTCTTGCTTCAACACTAAACAATAATAATGCACCAGTTTTTATACAGCACTTTTTTGGACACTCAAAAACCCATCAGATTCACTCCATACACAGTGTGATAAACTACTGCTGCGGCCACAGCTGCCCTGGGGCGCACTGATAAAAGCGAGGGAACCAGTCTGTGCCATCAGCCCTAACCAGACTCATTCTAATGTGGGTCAAGAGTTTTGTCTCAGGACACAGCGATACTTTACAGCCGCAGCCGCCCCACAGTGGCACCTGGTGTTTCCAGAGGTCTGCCATTACCATACTAACCAGGCCCTACCCTGCTTAGCATCAGAGGTTAGCTTTCACCTGCAGGTTGTTTTTTAACCATACAATTAGTCAGAAATACAAATAAAGTACAGAGAAAGAGAGACCAAAGAGAATGTCAAGAGAGAGAGCGAAATAAATCAAAGAGAGAAGAGAGACACAAGAGAGCAGAGAGAAAGGGAGAGTAAAAATCAGAGACAGAAATACCAACACAGGAAAATCAATTCATCAAAGTTTTGCCCTGAAGCTTTTATTGTCGACAGCGATGACAAAATGATTTAACTTTTACGTACATTTGGCAAAAGCTTTCCCAAAATGACAACATTTGTAACGGAAACATCAGGAAAACACAGATTCATTTTAAAACCATATCTTTGGTTCGGACGAGTCAGTAGGACAATATACAATTAATTACAAACTCCGCTTTACAAACTCTCTCTGGTCTCTCTCTCTCTGGTCTCTCTCTCTCTCTGGTCTCTCTCTCTCTCTGGTCTCTCTCTCTGGTCTCTCTCTCTCTGGTCTCTCTCTCTCTGGTCTCTCTCTCTCTGGTCTCTCTCTCTCTGGTCTCTCTCTCTCTGGTCTCTCTCTCTCTGGTCTCTCTCTCTCTGGTCTCTCTCTCTCTGGTCTCTCTCTCTCTGGTCTCTCTCTCTCTGGTCTCTCTCTAGCTTTTTTCTATAAAAGAACTGATCCAAAAATGTGACAGGGGACAAAAATACAGTAAGTAAAAACTAGTAAAATAACTGTTGTAGTTTGAAAGTTACGTACCCCAGTTTTAAGTCTTTGAGAGCACTCTATAAAAATCCCATTGAATACTTATTAAAGTCCAAAGAAAATAGGACCGTACGCCACAGACCATTTGCACTCATTCATTTAACATGAACAATACTGATACAAAAGTGAACATTCTCAAGATCACGTTTAAGGGACAAAAAGAAGCCCGACATTTTGGATTCCGTCCTTTCACGTTCCGTTTCCATGACAATAAAATGCTTGTGAATAGTGCACGTGCTCCATCAACAAAGCCTCTTTCTGTATCTTTCCACATAATATAATACTGTTTAGTGGAGTTCCCCAGGGCCGTTTAAACCCGCTTGCGGTTGTTAGTGGGCTCTTCCCTCGATGTGGGAGATCTCCAGAATGGGCCTGAGCAGCTGGAAGGCGTCCTGGATGTAAGAGGCGCTGTTGGAGGCCTGGAGTGAGGGGCAGAGGGGCAGGGGGATGGGGTTAGTGTGTGCGTTTGAGACAAAATACAACAGATAAGAAATGATACAAACGGAGAAGGCGGAAAAACCAGAATCTCCTACACAGTGGATCAGCTCCTCACAGCTACAGCGAGGCAAGCTTATTTATTCATTTTTTTTTTTCAGACGGTGATAGAACAAATAAAATAAAGGCAAGTTAATAAATGAAAAGTACATACAATTATCATTATGTATTTAAATGTGTTACTTTGGGGCTGTGTTATTGTCAGAAATGTCTTTGAGTTATCCTGACTGTGCGACTAGAGTAGAGTAGAGCAGAGCAAAGCCGGGTAAGGTAGAGTAGGGTAGAGTAGAACTGGTGGAAACAGGGCTGTATTCTGTGTGTATGGATATCACATTTTCCAATGGTTTTGATGCCGTCATTGAGTCTTAGTCATATTTAAAGACTGTGTTTGGAGAACGAACCTCGAGGAAGACGGCGGTGATGAGAGGGTTGAGGACGTCTCTTTTCTCACTGCTCTGTCGACGAAAAGAGAAGAGAGATGAGAGACACAAAAGATAAACCTTTATTAGTCAAAACAGCGAGAGAGCAGAGAGACAGAGTAATACAAACACAGTAATAACTAATAAGTAAGTAAATAATAAATATAAAAGATACATAACACATTTTTCAGAAAAATGCAGATTAATTTTCTTTCTCACTGGAACAAAATATAACTCATGCATTTGTACAAAGAGAGAATCTGTGACATCTAAGTTTTCTATCAAAACAACCACGAAAAGTAAACACTGTCAAGATCATGTTTCAGGGGCAGAATGTAGACGTAAGGCGGCTCACCCCTGCGGCCGTGAGACATGACGTGAACTTCTTTGAAAGTAGTGATATTTCTTTGCACAAAACCACTGTCAACCTGAAAACAAAACACAAGACACGATTTAAGTTACAGCCTCAGTCCTGGGTCTGCAGCCTCAGTCCTGGGTCTGCAGCCTCAGGCCTGGGTCTGCAGCCTCAGGCCTGGGTCTGCAGCCTCAGTCCTGGGTCTACAGCCTCAGTCCTGAGTCTACAGCCTCAATCCAGGACTGAGGTCTACAGCCTCAGTCCTGGATCTACACTCTCAGTCCTGGATCTACAGCCTCAGTCCTGGATCTACAGCCTCAGTCCTGGATCTACAGCCTCAGTCCTGGGTCTACAGCCTCAGTCCTGGGTCTACAGCCTCAGTCCTGGGTCTACAGCCTCAGTCCTGGGTCTACGGTCTTGGTCTTACTGTGAAAGGACTTGTGGCGTCACGTCTCCGTTGGTGAACAGAACCATCTCTGAGAGTTTGTGGAACAGTTCGATGGAGCGAGCGGTGAGTTCAGCCAAACCACGGATGGCAGCGGCGTGGACCTCCTGCAGCAGAGAAACACAGAGCTGGGGTTAGTCACAATCATGACTGCATGTGTCATTAAAAAACTGAAAGATGAAACTACACATTTATCGTCTGTGTCGATAACAAAAGTGAACATATTTCTGCTTTATTTTTATCTTTGGGAAAACAACATTAAGTTATTTTTCATATAATCTTGTTTTGAGCATTTTCTGAATCAGTCATGCCCCTGGTGTGTGTGTGTGTTACCTCCACAGTGGGGTCTGCTGAAGCTTCACTCTCTGGTTTGTTGAAGGCTGTGATTTGTGAACACGTGTTTCTGCAGGCCTGGAGGACACATTAAACATTAAAGCTGGGGCACCTGACTTTCTATTCTCATAACAGACACTTTTTTGACACTTTGGGCTGATTGACTGAGTAAGGGTGGTCCTCTCTTTTTCACTTTCCTGTCTGAAAAAAAGCTGATCTAATCATGTGACAGAAAACCAGAGACCATAGAGAGACCAGAGAGAGAAATATACCAGAAAGAGAGCAGAGAGAGACCAGAGAGACCAGAGAGAAACATGAGAGAGACCAGGGAGAGACCAGAGAGAGACCAGGGAGAGAGAGAGTAGACAGACATGAGAGAGAGAGTAGACAGACATGAGAGAGACCATAGAGACTAGAGAAAGAGAAGAGAGAGACCAGAAAGAGCAGAGAGAGTAGAGAGACCTGAGAGAGACCAGAGAGACTAGAGAGAGACCAGAGAGAGAGAAAAACCATAGGGAAGAGAGACCAGAGAGAAAGAGACCAGAGAAAGACATAAGAGCCTGGTCTAAAGATGTGCGAAAGCTCATAAATACGTGCATGTGAAAACTAGTGATAGAAGCAACTGTTTTATGCTGTTTTGTGCACTTATTTCCAAATAAAGCAATATCTTATCTTATCTTTATTTTATTACATGGTTATGTTGTTCTGGTTTGAAAGTCAGATACCCCAGCTTTAATTATACATGTTCATCCAAATATTTTCTCCAAGAAGTCAAAGTAAATGTTGTAAAGAAGTGTAAAATGAAAATAGTATGATGTGAGTTCTGACCAGTGTGAGTTTGTCGACGGTGCTGGAGATGCTGAGTCCTGCCAGGTCTGTGGTTAAAGCTCTCTCAAACTCTGAGCCGTCCTCATCTGAAAACACCACACAACCGTTTTATAAGACCAAGACCAGAGAGAGCCCACAGAGAGAGAGACCAGAGAAAGACCAGAGAGAGAGAACAGAGAGAGACCTGAGAGAGAGACCAGAGAGAGAGAGAGACCAGAGAGAGGGAGAGACCAGAGAGAGGGAGAAACCAGAGAGACAGACTAGAGAGAGAGACCAGAGCGAGAGCAGAGAGAGAAACCAGAGAGAGAGACCAGTGGAACTTTGGGACTGTATTTCATTTACGGAAGAAATTATCTCTAAACTCAGACTAGAATCCAACTTTTGACTGTTCCCATAGTTACCAGGTAATATGTTTCAGCTGCTTTAGTACACTGTGCAATCATAGGTTCTTCGGGACGTGTGTTTAAAAGCTCTAGTGTGAGTGTACAGGGCCTTTATCCCCACCAATGTCAGACTGTACAATAAGTCACTTTACGACGACCTGCACTGGAACTGAACTCACTTTTAAGTTATTCACTTTATTGCACATTACACTTTATTCTAGAAGATACTCTATATATTCTCACTGCACCTTAGAGCCAGGAACCAGAGACCATAGAGAGACCAGAGAGTTACAGATACCAGTGAGAGAGAGACAGAGAGAGAGAGAGAGAGAGACAGCAGAAAGACTAGAGAGAGATCAGAGAGAGACCAGAGAGAGATCAGAGAGAGACCAAAGAGAGACCAGAGAGAGACCAAAGAGAGACACCAGAGAGAGGCCACAGAGAGACCAGAGAGAGACCAAAGAGAGACACCAGAGAGAGGCCACAGAGAGACCAGAGAGAAACCAGAGAGAGACACCAGAGAGAGGCCACAGAGAGACCAGAGAAACACCAGAGAGACACACCAGAGAGACCAGAGAGAGACCAAAGAGAGAGGCCACAGAGCGAGAGATCACAAAAAGATCTTAGTTGATATGTACTAACAAAGATGAGAAACTTTATAACTGTAAACTCGGACTAGAATCTAACTTTTGACCGTTTCCATAGTTACCAGGCGAGACGTGTGAGGTCACATGAACACACTGAAAAAGACTCGGCTCTAGCGTGAAACTGACCTTTTGTCTCGTCCACGTCGTCATCGTCGAAGTCGGTCAGAGAAAAGGCGTCCTTCACCTGCTGCAGCTCCGCTCGCAGCTCGCACAGCTCGTCCCCGGACAGAGTGGTCAGCACAGACTTCACCTGGTTCAAAGATCAAAGGTCAGAGAGGTGCAGGACTCAGGACTCAGGACTCAGGACTCAGGACTCAGGACTCAGGACTCAGGACTCAGGACTCAGGACTCAGGACTCAGGACTCAGGACTCAGGACTCAGGACTCAGGACTCAGGACTCAGGACTCAGGACTCAGGACTCAGGACTCAGGACTCAGGACTCAGGACTCAGGACTCAGGACTCAGGACTCAGGACTCAGGACTCAGGACTCAGGACTCAGAGTCTCAGAGTCTCAGAGTCTCAGAGTCTCAGAGTCTCTGGTCTTCATTGTCTGACCAATCATGTGGCTTTTGTTCCCAAATTTGGCTTCAGCAGCGAATAGCGCGGGTGGGAACAGTCCAGCGTCGTTCCTGAATGGCTCTGTGGTTGCTCAATTGTTGCTACCCAAAACATCGCTTCAATATGATTCCCGGTCAAAAGCCCTTCAGAGTTATATCGAATAAGGTTCTTCTGTGCTAAGGCCATGGGTGAGCTCAGACTGACCTTGGCCTCGCTGTCCCGGGACAGGATCTCCAGCGCCTCCAGGTGGGACAGACCCTGGAACTCGTCAAACAACAGCCCATAATGAGCGGCAGGTTTGGAGTCAGTGTCTTCGTCCGCGCTCTGCATCTGCTCGCGCTCCTTCGCCTCCCGCAAAACCTGAGGAGAGACACGAAAGCTGAAGATGTATCACAAAGAGAGAGTGAGTGTGTGTGACCGATGGCTGTAGTCTGTTCATGGCTATTCACCCACTGTTCCACTGTGTCACCACTAGGGTTTAATCCCGGGACACGGGATTCCCGGGAAATCTGATCAAAACCATTTCCCGATTCCCGGGAAATGTTATGACGGGAAACGGGAAATGTTTAAAAAAAATAAAGTTTAAAAAAATAATCCAGTGCGCTCCTATTATAGAGCATGTTTATTGTTGTTCAAAGTTCAAACATATTTCATTTACAATGAACATCTCTACAGCTGAGAGGATGGCTCATAAATTGTGTTTTTGACAACAAATATGGGTCTTAATCGACTTAACCACGACTTGTAATGAGCCTCAGGGTACGGGGCACATGTGAGCCCAGAATTCGGCTACATCTAATTCTATCAGAAAGCTCCTTTCTTTTTTTTCCATCTGCTAAGGGCAGCAACAGGTTTGGCTAACATACATATAACACAGGTTCTGTTCACTGTATTTATGGACAGAATATCTAGGCGCAGCCAGGGGTCGGAGGGGGTCCGGTTCGGGGACCACAGGATTTCATCTCTGCTGTTTGCGGACGATGTTGTCCTGTTGGCTCCAACAAACCAGGACCTGCAGCATGCACTGGAGCGGTTTGCAGCCGAGTGTGAAGCGGCTGGGATGAGAATCAGCACCTCCAAATCCGAGGCCATGGTGCTCGAACGGAAAAAGGTGCCTTGCCCTCTACAGGTGGGTGGAGAGGTCCTTCCTCAAGTGGAGGAGTTCAAGTATCTCGGGGTCTTGTTCACGAGTGAGGGAAGGATGGAGCGTGAGATTGACAGGCGGATCGGTGCAGCGTGCGCAGTGATGCGGTCGCTGTATCGGACCGTTGTGGTAAAGAGGGAGCTGAGCCGAAAGGCAAAGCTCTCCATTTACCGGTCAATCTTCGTTCCCTCCCTCACCTATGGTCGTGAGCTTTGGGTAATGACCGAAAGAACGAGATCGCGGATACAAGCGGTCGAAATGAGCTTCCTCCGCAGAGTGGCTGGGCGCTCCCTTAGAGATAGGGTGAGGAGCTCAGTCACACGGGAGGAGCTCGGAGTAGAGCCGCTGCTTCTCCACGTCGAGAGGAACCAGTTGAGGTGGCTCGGGCATCTGTTCCAGATGCCTCCTGGACGCCTCCCTGGGGAGGTGTTCCGGGCACGTCCCACCGGGAGGAGGCCCCGCGGAAGACCTAGGACACGCTGGAGGGACTATGTCTCTCAGCTGGCCTGGGAACGCCTTGGGGTCCCCCCGGACGAGCTGGAGGAAGTGTGTGTGGATAGGGAAGTCTGGGCGTCTCTGCTTAGACTGCTGCCCCCGCGACCCGGCAACGGATAAAGCGGAAGAAAATGGATGGATGGATGGACATATAACACATTTTAAGATAATATAAAATGCATTTAGGGTAATGTTCTGCTTCCAATGACGATAGGAATGATAAGGAAGAGAGGAGAAGGGTAAGAAGGTTGATATTAGAAATTGGATGCGCCCGAGAGTTGGCTGCAGCGAAAACACAGGAGTTTATGGAGGTGGCACCCGTTTTGTTTTACGCTTTAAAACTCTTTGGGCTTATTTCCAAATGGGGGATTACATATCTGCGCTCAAACTATTATCTGGACTTAAACATGAACTGGTCTGAACCGAAGTGGTCTGTGCTGTTCATTATAACTAAGGTAAGACCCATAACACAATTGGAAATGTGTTATGCGGGCCATGGAAAACATTCTGCTGTAGCCAAACTAATTGTGAATAAGCCGCTTTGTAGGTTCTGTTGATTTATATGATATATGTTCATCTGACAGGGCTGAAGTCAGTGCCTCCAAACCACACGCACGTCACTGGTCGACAAGTGGATTGCGCAGACATTTAGAATCTCATAATAGTGAAATTCATGAAGAAAGCCCATCAACAAAACGTCTGAAAACGCTATGGCTACTTTAGAAAAGATAGCACGTGGCTTGGTGAAACACTAGTGGAGATGGCAGCTTTTGTTGGATTATATATTTGAGTGATATCATACATTACCTGGGCTAAAAACAACAACTACAAACAACAGCTATTTCCCAGGATTGGCGTCATCTTTTCCCGGGATTTGATACGTCTCATTTTCGGGAAAAATATTAAACCCTAGTCACCACCAGATCCACAGCCTCAGTCCTGGGTCTACAGCCTCAGTCCTGGATCTACAGCCTCAGTCCTGGATCTACAGCCTCAGTCCTGGATCTACAGCCTCAGTCCTGGATCTACAGCCTCAGTCCTGGATCTACAGCCTCAGTCCTGGATCTACAGCCTCAGTCCTGGATCTACAGCCTCAGTCCTGGATCTACAGTCTCAGTCCTGGATCTACAGCCTCAGTCCCGGATCTACAGCCTCAGTCCTGGATCTACAGCCTCAGTCCTGGATCTACAGCCTCAGTCCTGGATCTACAGCCTCAGTCCTGGATCTACAGCCTCAGTCCTGGATCTACAGCCTCAGTCTTGGATCTACAGCCTCAGTCCTGGATCTACAGCCTCAGTCTTGGATCTACAGCCTCAGTCCTGGATCTACAGCCTCAGCTCAGGTCTAAGGACACTGATAATCTGGAACATTCAAAAACCTTCCTGGACAGTGGTCGTCCTGCTCTTATGTGGTTGTGATTATTGCATTTCCTGTGTCTGGACTCTTTGATTCTCTGATCTGTTGTTAGTGAATCTACAAGTTTGTAAAGTCCTCCGAGACGACTGCTGCTGCGATGCACAAATAAATTGCATGAAATCCTCTGGTGTCACCTGTGAGAGCGTGTTGTCTCGATGCATCAGTCCTTTGGTTTTCTTGAATCCTGGGTCTCCCTCCGCGATCACATCCATCGTCTTTTTACCGATGAACTCCAGCGCGTCCAGACCGCCGCTGATCACTGTCTTCCCCTGGACACACCATCAACCAAGGACCATTGAGCCTCTCTGGTCTCTCTCTCTGGTCTCTTTCTCTCTCTCTCTCTCTCTCTGGTCTCTTTCTCTCTCTCTCTGGTCTCTTTCTCTTTCTCTCTCTCTCTCTGGTCTCTTTCTCTCTCTCTCTGGTCTCTTTCTCTCTCTCTCTGGTCTCTTTCTCTCTCTCTCTGGTCTCCAGACTCTTTCTGGTCTCTCACTCTGGTCTCAAACTGACTAAAGATAAATAATAAATAAATAAATTAAAAATATTTTTTTTTAATATATTTTATTTTTACAAGACTCTTTTTGTTGGACAAATAATTTTACAGATTTCATGTTGTATGATGTGAATGTTGTTAGTGTTGTGTGTGACTCACGGTGGTCTGCATGACGCTGCTGAGCGATGAGAAGACCCCCATGGCCCCAGACACCGGGGACGAGGCCTCAGCAGAGTCTGCCTCAGTGCTGCCCTCACCTGGTCACAAGGAAACAGGAGACAGACCCGTGTTAAAATGGTGCGTCGACCAGTGTGGAAATGAAGGAGAGATTTTTGGGACTGTGTCGGCTTTTCACCACAGGAAAGAGAGGGACTTGTCAAAAATGTAAACTTTTAAAATGAGTCTTCTAAAGTCACGACACGAGTACCCAGGACCAGAGAGAGACCAGCGAGGGAGAGACCAGAGAGAGTCCAGCGAGGGAGAGACCAGAGAGAGACCAGAGAGTGTCCAGAGAAAGACCAGAGAGAGACCAGAGAAATGCCAGAGAGATGCAACAGAAAGATCAGCGACATCAGAGAGAGACCAGAGAGAATCACACTACAGCAGGTTTCTGATCCGCATGAAGCAATACCGACAGTCTCCAACACATTATTCACAAACACAAATTTTATAAAGGAAAGAGCAGCGCGTGAAACAGCCCAAACACGGCTCCACGGCTCGATACGCAGTCATTATCTAGACTAGAGTATTGTCCCTGGTGTGATTTTTGTGTAGTTTTAGAACCGTTTTCCCCTGAGCCACACGTGAGCGATGGCCCAGAAAAGAGTGTGCTTTTGTTTGTGAGTGTGTGTGTGCGTGTGTATACATGTGAGTGCGTGTATGTGTGTGTGTGTATGTATGCGTGTGTATGTATGTGTGCGTGTATGCGAGTGTGTATGCGTGTGTGTATGTGAGTGTGTATGCGAGTGTGTATGCGAGTGTGTATGCGAGTGTGTATGCGAGTGTGTATGCGAGTGTGTATGCGAGTGTGTATGCGAGTGTGTATGCGAGTGTGTATGCGAGTGTGTATGCGAGTGTGTATGCGAGTGTGTATGCGAGTGTGTATGCGAGTGTGTATGCGAGTGTGTATGCGAGTGTGTATGCGTGTGTGTATGCGTGTGTGTATGCGAGTGTGTATGCGAGTGTGTATGCGAGTATGTATGCGAGTGTGTATGCGAGTGTGTATGCGTGCGTGTATGCGAGTGTGTATGCGTGCGTGTATGCGAGTGTGTATGCGTGTGTGTATGCGTGCGTGTATGCGAGTGTGTATGCGTGCGTGTATGCGAGTGTGTATGCGTGTGTGTATGCGTGCGTGTATGCAAGTGTGTATGCGAGTGTGTATGCGAGTGTGTATGCGAGTGTGTATGCGAGTGTGTATGCGTGCGTGTATGCGAGTGTGTATGCGTGCGTGTATGCGAGTGTGTATGCGTGTGTGTATGCGTGCGTGTATGCGAGTGTGTATGCGTGCGTGTATGCAAGTGTATATGCGTGTGTGTATGCGTGCGTGTATGCGAGTGTGTATGCGTGCGTGTATGCGTGTGTGTATGCGTGCGTGTATGCGAGTGTATATGCGTGTGTGTATGCGTGCGTGTATGCGAGTGTATATGCGTGTGTGTATGCGTGCGTGTATGCGAGTGTGTATGCGTGCGTGTATGCGTGTGTGTATGCGTGCGTGTATGCGAGTGTGTATGCGTGCGTGTATGCGTGTGTACCCTCTTGCGCGCGCTCCTCCTGCACTCGTGCCGACAGCTCAGTGGGACTGGGGATCCCCAAAGACGTCTCTGCTTTCTCCATGGCCTGCGTGAGGCCGTGCCCTGCAGAAAACAGTCCGTTCAGAACAGCGCTCTCCTCTCGCACCATTGTCTCGCTCCTGCTCTTAGTGGAAAGTGTGTTTGAAGCTCATCTTTTGCATCTGTGGATATTGGTCATATTCATCCTGGCATTCTGGAGGTATTTGGACCAGGGGAGAACGTGCATGTAACCAGAGTTGGGAGATTCTGGCTCGGATTGGACCAAAGGTAAGGATGTGGACTGGTCAATTATTTCTGCCAGCCCATTCTGCAGACTTAGAACAAGGCAATTATACTTAAAGAGGAGGTACGTAACTTTCAAAGCATAACAGTTGGATCATTCGTTTTCACATATATGTTTCTGTAGGCCTCTGACATATCTTTAGATCAGCTTTTTCAGACAGACAAGAGAAAAAGAGAGAGACACCAGAGAGAGACTAGAAAGAGACCAGAGAGAGACTAGAAAGAGACCAGTGAGAGACTAGAAAGAGACGGGAGAGAGTTGAAAGAGACAACAGAGAGACTAGAAAGAGAACAGAGGGAGAGACTACAGAGAGACTTGAGGGAGACCAGAGAGAGACTAGAAAGAGACGAGAGAGAGACCAGTGAGAGACCAGAGGGAGAGACCAGAGGGAGAGACCAAAGGGAGACCAGAGACAGATCAGCGAGAGAGACAAAGAGAACAGAAAGATGCTATTTGTGGTCTTGATTTGTTCACATTTTCCTTTTACAATTAAAATTACAAGCTACACATGTTAAATAAAGTTAGGTACCCCAGCTTTAAAGTAATGTCTGCGTCTATTATTAATCATGTCTTATTAGCTCGTTCTCGTCATGTTTGCAGAGCGGGAACTGACCGACTGTTGCCACGGTTGCAGTAGCCGTGGAGATGAGGGACTTTCCCCAGTTGCCCCAGTAACCCCATCCTCCCTGAGCGACGGTCGACTCGGGACTCTGGAGGAAAGCACAGGTGTTTACATCAGAAGCAGAAGGAAAGTCTCCTCTCTCATCTCCCCGTTTAGCTCCTCTCCTCTCCCTCCTCTTCTCTCCCCAACGTCTCTCCTGTCTCCTCCACTCTCTCTTCTCTGGTCTCCCCTCTCCTCTTCCCCATCTCCTTCTCTCTCCTCTTCTCTCCTGTCCCCTCTCTCCTCTTTAGTAGAAGACAGTAGTTGTACCTTGGCTGGTTGTGGCGGTTCCTCAGTCGGCGTGTTGTCTTTGGGCCTCTGCTCCGTGGGTTCGTTGGGTCCTTTGGGTGCTGCTGTCTCTGGTCTAGTGGGTCCTTTGGGTGCTGCCGTCTCTGGTCTAGTGGGTCCTTTGGGTGCTGCCGTCTCTGGTCTAGTGGGTCCTTTGGGTGCTGCCGTCTCTGGTCTAGTGGGTCCTTTGGGTGCTGCCGTCTCTGGTCTAGTGGGTCCTTTGGGTGCTGCCATCTCTGGCCTCCACCTCCCTCTCCTGGTGGGTGCTACGTCAGTGGCGATGTCGTTGGTGATGTCATTGGCGCTGCTGTCGGGTGAAGCAGGTGGAGACTCGGGTTCTGAAGCCGGCTGGTCCTCCACCGCCTCAAAGAAGGTCTCAGCCTCCACACTCTCGCTCCACGACATGTCTCAGCTGCTGGACATAACTGAAAATCCAAAAGTGGGATTTAAAGGTTTTCCTCAGGGTCCGTTCTAACAAGAATGCACCCATTTCTTTAAGTATAATGTTAAGAAGATACAAGACCTCAACATGACGTCTTCATTTTATTAAAATCATGTTGGGTCTGGGTCTGGCCTCAGTCCAGGTCCATCCTTTGTCCCGATAACGATCTGGTCGGGGTCAGTCCTGAGTCCTAGTCCCGAGTCTGATCTTGGTCTGGCCTAGGTTCATGTCTAGTCTTGATCTGGTCTTGATCCAAGTCTGGCCTAGGTTCATGTCTGGTTTTTATCTGGAACTGGTCTTGGTCCCAGGGTCTATAGTCTTGGTCCCGTGTGTGGTCTTGGACCACATCCCGACTTCGTCTTATTAAAAAACATGTTTGTACTGTCCCTGTCAAATAAATAAATAAATAAAATAAACATGTTATCATTTGTGTAAGAAAGAGCCCTGTGAGTCACTATTTGACTCTTCGGGCTGAGAGCTGATTGGCCGAGTGAAGGTGGTCCTCTCTTTTTTTCAATTTTCTGTCTGAAGAAGCTGATCTGAAGATGCGACAGAGGCCAAACATACATGACAGGAAAACTAGTATTAGACACCTCTCTGGTCTCCCTCTTGCTGGTCTCCCTCTTGCTGGTCTCCCTCTTGCTGGTCTCCCTCTTGCTGGTCTCCCTCTTGCTGGTCTCCCTCTTGCTGGTCTCCCTCTTGCTGGTCTGGTCTTCTACTTTCTTGTCTCTCTCTGTCTGGTCTCTTTCTCTATTGTCTCTCTCTGTCTGGTCTCTCTCTATGGTCTCTCTCTCTCTCTCTATGGTCTCACTTTCTCTTTGGTCTCTCACTTTCTCTCTGGTCTCTCTCGCTCTCTCTCTGGTCTCTCTCTCTCTATGGTCTCTCTCTCTCTCTCTCTGGTCCCTCTCTCTCTCTCTGGTCTCTCTCTCTCTGGTCTCTCTCTCTCTCTCTATGGTCTCTCTCTCTCTCTCTCTGGTCTCTCTCTCTCTGGTCCCTCTCTCTCTGGTCCCTCTCTCTCTGGTCTCTCTCTCTCTGGTCCCTCTCTCTCTCTCTGGTCTCTCTCTCTATGGTCTCTCTCTCTCTCTCTCTCTGGTCTCTCTCTCTCTCTGGTCTCTCTCTGGTCTCTCTCTACATAACTTAACAGCTCTGTGCAGAGCCAACACAGGTCCAGGATTGGCCAATTGAAAACAAAATACATTTTAAACAACACTTGCACTGTCTGCCAACCAAGGGGAGGAAGAGAGAAGGAAGGAACCAGTGTATGTATACGGATGTAACCTTTCTTGCATCTTCTTGTGACATACCTATAAACAGCCACATCCACCCCATAGTTACTTTATTAAACACAGCTCCCCTTTGCATTGTCCTAACTTTACCATGAGGTTTAAAATAGCGTTTTCCGCCACAAGCCGTAATAAACAGTATAATAATAATGATAATAATAATAGTAACAACTAGTGACAGTAGAATATGTTAAAAAGTGTGTTTCTTACCAAACTTAACAGCGCGGACTGGCTGCGTTTCCGCTTCTGAAGGATTTAACTCCACAGAAAACCGATTTAAGATGTAAAATAAAGAAGTATTATTGGAACTGGAAAGACGAGATTGTGTCTAAGGCCCTAAAAAAGTCACATTTACCGAAACAGATGAAAATATTCGCTGATTGTGTCCGTCGCTGGATTAGCCACGTCACATTGTTTACGAGTGGCGCGAGGAGGCACTTCCGGTACACGTTCTTTCAAAGTAAGAACGCTCATTTCACAATAAGAGCTCATTTTATACAAAATAGGTCTCTTTCGCCATCACGGTTCCTGGCCTTGAGCTGGGTCTTTTATTTTGTATGTGTCTGGGTCTAGTCCAGATCCAGATCTTTGTCTGTGCCTGGGTCTAGTCTTGGTCCAGACTTTTTTCTGTGTCTGGTTTTGGCCTGGCCTCAGTCCGGATCTTTTTCTTGTTTTAGTTCTTAGTCTTGGTTTTGGTCTTGGTTCTGGTCTTGGCTCTGGTTTCATCTTGGTTCTGGTCTCAACTTGGTTTTGGTCTCGTCTTTACATTCTTTACTATTCTCTCTCTTTGGTTTCTCTCTCTGGTCTTTCTCTGCTCCCTCTCTCTGGTCTCTCTGGTCTCTCTCAGTTCTCTCACTCTCTGATCTCTCTTTAGGTCTCTATATCCAAATTGTTTTAGTGCCAGGACCCACAAACACATTTTGTGGTTTTAAAGTCCCCAGCTTTAAGAGACAGACCAAGCACATTGCCTCATGCTTCCTCCAGAGACAGGTGTAGCTCCGCCCCCTTTACACCTGAGCAGGAAGTGCAGTTTGAGTGAGAGCGGAGGTTTGTCTTCTCACTCCTCAGAGGAACACACAGACGGACTATTGCCACCGTTGCTTCAGCCTCAGGTAACTGCTTTATATACCCAGCTATAATGTGTGCGCCAACCACAGTTTGAGACGCTTCGGCTAATCTGTCTTTTGTGTGTTTGTACTTTGAGATGTGAGAGTTGTTTGAGTAAACGTGACATACCAGTCCAGCAGCATTTGACAGCAGTCGCTCAAACAGCCACTTTGGAGACATTTTTGTTCTAATTGTTGTGAGAAAGTTCTTTGTGAAATAGAATTTGTAAAATATATGTTTTTGTCTTTGCCTTGTTTTTGTTACTCACTGAATCTGGAGTTGATGATGTTATTATAAGAAACAAAACTGGGTCAAATGTATAAAAGGACTGTGTAGGACTGATACAGGAGCTCAGTGTTTAACACACATTTAATACATTGTTGAAAATGTGTAACAACAGTTTTGTATAACATTTCATATAAACACATAGAAACCCATTCAAAGCTCTTACCATCAATGTTTGCGAGTTAATGATAATAAGGCAAGGCAAGGTTATTTGTATAGCACAGTTCATACACAAGGGAGCTCAAAGTGCTGAACAAAACAAGATTGAAACAATCACACAAGGCATTACAAAAATAAATAATCGCAGTACAATAAAAGAGTTGCCGCGAATTGTTTTTAACCTGGATTTGAACATTGTCAAAGTAGAAGCCTGTCTCACATTTTCAGGAAAACTGTTCCAGATTATAGCCGTATAAAATTGAAATGCTGCCTCCTGACTCTGGGACCAGCAGGAGGCCAGTCCTTGTGCTCCTCAGAGTCCCAGCAGGAGGCCAGTCCCTGTGCTCTATACATTTGATTCTCAGCAAGTTTTTCAGATGCAAAAAGATTTTTGACTTTTCAAATTGTGAGGTTTTCAACAACAAACATTGCATTCTGCAAATACCCTCATGAGGCTGTGAAACATGAGACATTACCAAAACTGTTGTTTTAAAAGCAAGAAAAGACCTATAGTGCACTCTACTCTACTCTACTCTACCGTACCGTTGGGTTCCCATTACACTATAGCATCTGGTATTGTAACAACCTACCCACTACAAACCAGTATCTGGGGAAATTCCTTGGTAACCATGGCTTCCCGCAGCACTTTGGGCAATCACTGTCAGTTAGAACACTTCAGTACTATCTCTGTCTGGATAGAACCAGGACCAAGAGGGACTAAAGAAGGACTTGGTGCTGGTTAAGCAGGGCTGGTTGAACAGGGCTGGTGGAAACTGGGCGTTATCAGTAAGAATAACAGTCTCCTCCCTCTTGCTCCCACAGAAATGTCCGCTCCTGGTTTTCTCGCGTCTCTGGTCCTTCTGGTTCTTGTGGACGGAAACTCGGCGCTGTTCCAGAACATCTCCTGGTACCGGAGCAGTCTACTGAAGCAGGACGTCCTGGCTGTAGAGGGCGCTAGTGTGCTCCTGCGCTGCAACCTGTCCCAGGAGGTGCAGTGGTTCCATCCGAAGGGACATCTGCTGGAGCACCAACAAGGTACTGCACTAAAGCTGGGGTACCTGACTTCCAACAAGGTACCTCATTGAAAGTCAGCTACTCCAGTTTTAGCACAGTACCTTGTTGAAATCCAGGTACCACACTAAAGCTGGGGTACCTGACTTCCAACAAGGTACCACACTAAAGCTGGGGTACCTGACTTTCAAGCCACAACAATGGCACTGTCAAATCCATGTCACATTAGTTCCTGACTCTTAAACATAAAACTTCAGGATTAGTCGTCCAGTTCAGTCATTTCAAACAGAAACTCGGACCAAAACCAGGCCCAGACAAAGACCAGAACCGGACCAGGACCCAGTCCATTCCAAGTCCAGACCTGAATGAGAGATGAACATTTTACTTTTAAGACTCTTTATTTTGGGACAAAAAACATGAGTTATTTATGAGATGATAAAGTCGGGTACCTCAGCTTTAAGGTCTCTTGAGTTTCTTCGCAAACGGCAACTAATCTGAATCTGAACCTTGTGTTTGCAGATGGAAAGTGGCAGATGGCGGACAGCGGCGCCTTGAACATCACCGTGGTCTCCTTCTCGGACCGTGGTCGGTACCGCTGCTCCTCGGCCGCAGCCAACAGCTCGGTGACTCTGCGTGTGGCCTACACAGACTCGGGCCTGGGCCTGTACTACGTGGGCGTGTGCCTGGCAACCTTCACCATCACCATGCTGCTGAACTTCGCCCGCCTCTGCCTCATGAGCAGCCACCTAAAGAAGACCGAGCGCGTCATCAACGAGTTCTTCCGGACCGAGGGCGCCGAGAAGCTGCAGAAAGCCTTTGAGGTCGCCAAGCGCATCCCCATCATCACCTCGGAGAAGACGCTGGAGCTGGCCAAGGTCACTCAGTTCAAGACCCTGGAGCTCGCCAGGTGGGGGCGCTGTTCTCTCGCAATGTACTGGGACATTTGTAGGAGAGGAAGTCAGCTTTATCACTGCATTCTTCCAAAATGTTCCAATCAAAACGATAAGATTAAAATTGATCTGGTAATTTACACATTTACAAACACAAGATGACTGAAACAACATTTATTCAAATTCATTCCTTAAATCACGATTAGCCTCAATATTCAAGTTATAGACTTTACACAAATAAGAAAAGATGAAATAAAACTTGATTTGTCTCACAATGGAGAAATGTAAATGTACTTAGAGTTTCGCTTTTCAGCCCGAGCCCGAGCAGGCCCGAGGCCCGACCTGAGTTCGGGCCGGGCTCGGGCCTCATTTGGCGCTCAGCTGTCGGGTTTGTGCCGGGCTCGGGCTTCTTTTTTTAAATATATGTTCCTTTTTTATTATTATTATAATTATTTTTAAATGATTTTTATACATAATGATTTGCATATATATATATTAATAACAATGTCCGTTGATTGACAACAAGTTATTAAAAAAAGTTAATATATTAATGACACCGTAACCAGCGTGTCCTACAGCAGCAGCGAGCCGTGAACGCATCATCCCCGTGTCTCCTGCTGCTGTGGTCAACAGCGAACAGGAACAATAGTAGAAATGGATCAAGTGGAGACAAAACAAATTCAAAAGTGGAGACTAAACTTACAATTGGAAGGTGAGTGCGTACAACGGGAAATCAGATGTGTCGGGTTCTGTCGGGCTCGGGCCTGTTATACAGCGTTCATTGGTCGGGCTTATACGGGCTCGGGCTTAACATTAGCGGGCTCGGGCCGGGTCGGGCTTCATTTTTCAGGCCCGAACGAAACTATAACGTGTATACAGGGCTTTTTTGCTCACTAAAAATGGAGGAAATGTGCAAACTGTTAAAACGTAGTTAAAACAGACTTGAAATTGTTTTTAGTTCTCAATATCAGGATGTTAAAGCACAAACACATCCCCACATCTCACATGTCTCATGTGTCCCTCTGTCCTCAGGCAAATCGAGGACTTGGCTAAAAGCATACCGTTACCGCCGCTCATCTTACACTGTGTCGGAGAAGAAACAGCAGCGGACGATCCTCAGGCGAAGGGAAGAGAGGAGGAACGAGTGAGTCTGATGGAGCAGAGAGGAGCAGCAGCAGGAGGAGGTGGAGCAGCAGGAGGAACGAGCGCGGCGGCGAGCGCGTCACCAGGACACTACGCCGTTTCAGAAATGCCATAAACACTTTTAAACTGGGGCTGAAAGGTTTTATGAACATATTACTTTTTTATTATACGTTTTCCACGTGTTAAAGGTGCTGTACAAACCTTTCCTTAAGCCTCTCGTCTTGGTGGTGTTACCGCAAAACATTCAGGATTGTTGCTCAAAGAATCAGGGCTTTTTTCTCTCACACCAACATACAATGCACTTATTCCCTCACCTGCTCTGGTCTCTGTGCTTATACACCAACGTCACACACACGCTCTCTCACGATTCCGCCGCACACAAACGTCACATAAGAGTTAGACGCATCTTACTCCAACACTCTTTTGTCCTTGTGTAGTGGTTTACACAGTTGTGTCCATTAACCATGAACTAGGTGTCGGTGACGTCAAGAGTTTGTGCCAATTTTGTTGGTTGTAGCGGCGAATGCAATATTATAGTGATCTGTTCTGGTTCGGCTCCAAATATCAAGAAAATGAAGCCAGCAAGAGCAAATGTCATTGCTGCAAAGATGTTGTGACTCTACTAAAGGAGACGGCTAAAGCTAGGCCAAATGCTAAAGGTAGGCTAAATTCTAAACTCGGGCTCATTGCATACGTCACAGTAAACTCAGATCCACTCGTTTCAATCTGCAAAAGGAGTTAACCCCTCCCACCTGTTAACGGAGCTCAATGGAGCAAACCCAGACCGTAGTACTGAATGAAATGAGTGCAATGATGTGGTAAGACCAGGCTACCGTTACCGGATTGTTCTTCATCAAAAACAGAACTTGAAGTTGTTTTTCCCTCTGGATATCAGGATCTTCAGGCACAAATCCTTTCCCTTTATGTCTTATGTTAAACTATAGCCCTGTTTCCACCAGCCCTACTCAGCCCTTTACTCTACTCTGCTAAAAGTGGTGAAAAAGAAGTTACACATTTCTGACATTTGACAAAATTTGCCTTAATTTGAGTACATTGTGACTTCTTTAAAACAAGATTTGCTCCGTAATATTGTCTTGCTTTAAAAAGTTGAAATGTCAAAAAAAAAAAAAAATTCTTAAAATAAGACGTAATGGCTTTGTCCCAATACAGTCATAATGTGCACAAATTAAGAGAAAAACCACTCTATTCAAGCAATTATTACCTCATATTTGATCATTTTTGTGTGCTTACTCTACTCTCTACTCTACTCTTTTCTACAAAACTCTTCTCTCAAAAAATATTCAAGTATTTTTGATTCAAATGTTGTGAATATATTTGTGGTTCGTCCGTGTGTTTGGGTTCTTTTACCTGTGCTAAAGAAGCCGGATTCTAAATGTTCTTTGTCTTAGTGGTTTACACTGTTGGCTCCTCCCACCAGCATATAATGAAACAAAATCCGCTGATTGCTAACTTGATCTACAAGGGGTCAACGCTGCTGCCGTCTGGGAGGCTCCATCGTCTCCTCAAGACCAACACTGAGAGGATGAGAGGGAGTTTCTTTCCTGAAGCCATAAGACGACTAAACCGGGTCTAACTCTGTCTCTGTCTCTCTTTCTGTGTTATTATTCGGTTTTTGTGTGTTCCGAATACGTACTGAACATCTGCTGGAGTTACATGAGAATTTCACTGCATGTAATGTGTATTTAACAAACAATAATAAAACTAAAAACTACCAAAGTATGACAACTCGCCTCTTTCTTTTAATTGTTTTAGACCAAGGGATGTCAAAGTCAAATACTTCAGAGGGCAAAGAAAACAAAATTCTGAGGGCTGGACTGGTTCATTGTTTATTAATGTTTAATAAAATGATGCATATAACCTGTTGAACCCAGACCTAACAATGAATACATTAATAATCCAATATTTCTGTATGGCTTTGTCAACAATATCAAGTGAAAACATTCAAAGAGAAAAAAAAATATGTCTTGAACAGTACGTAAATACTATATTTTCTTATGGCTTTGTGCGGCCGGTTCTAATACCAATCAAATATAATCCCGGGGGCCAAGATAAATAATTTCGCGGGCCGGATCTGACTGACTTCAACACCCATGTTTTAGACCAATATGTAATAAATATCATGGTAGACTTCTGGTGCTAATCAAAGGTTGTCGGTGAAATTCCAGCGAGCTCGTCTTTCACAACCATCGGTAAACTCCCAAACACCAGAAGACAGGAGAAAACAACTTGTTCATGCTAACCTGCTAGCTCAATGAACCCCAATAGGGAAGTGCTCATGGACAAAGTTTTGCTCCAACTCTCCCTGGCTCCTATTGACTCACATGTAAAAATAGACTCCTCAAGCTCAATAACACTCACCATTTTGGATTTAAATCTGTGTTTTTAGCGCTCTCTGTGATCCTTGTGATATTGTCTTCTGACCAATCAGACGCCTTGATTTGTGGGGGAAACTCCAGTTTGCGTTTTTTTTTCCCTTTATTAATGTGTGTTATGCTAAAGTTAGAGATTTTATACTTGCTTTTTTATTATATTAAAGTTAGAAATTGTAATTTATTTTAGTATTGATTTATTGTTGAATTATCTTGTGCTGTGTGCTTTTCATTCCTACTGTTCAGTAACTGGTGATGCAACACTGACATTTCCTCACTGTGGGACCAACAAAGGCTCTCTTCATCTTAATCCTCATGTGGTGCAGTACTCAGGTCCACCAGAGGAGGTCACTGCTGCATTACAAAACCGCCACAGACAGGAAAGTGGATAAAGTGACATTTATTTCGGTCACTTGAGGCTGCGCTCATGTGTCACATAGTGGTGCGGGCAGCGGAAACCTCTCTCCTGGTAACTATGTCAATACTTCTCTCCTGGTAACTATGGTAAATACCAAACAGCCAGATGTCTATTGTCTCTTGTAAACACTATTGAACCATATGAAACCTTTGTTTGTGCCTCTGTGGAGCATTTTCAATGTCATTATAGAAGTTGATTATTATTTGGTAGTCTCCAGATATCAGAGAGAGAGAGAGCGCCTCATGGTGGAGCCTCATGAAGGCCATAGAATGACCCGATAAATCTCTCTTCTCTCTTTGTTCTCTAGTCTCTCTGCTCTCTCTCTGGTCTCTCTCTTTCCTCCACATAGTTTTGGTTAAAAACTCACACTTCACTTCTCTCATCTCTCTGTGGTATCTCTTCAGTCTCTCTGGTGTCTCTCTGGCCTCTCTCTCTCTGATCTCTAGTCTTTCTGGTCTCTCTCTCTGGTCTCTCTCTGAGCTCTAGTCTCTCTCTTGTCTCTCTCTTTTCTCCACATAGTATTGGTTAAAACCTCACACTTCACTTCTCCTACACGTACATTTCCTCTCGTTCGGATCCTGTAAGCTCCACCTTCACCTTGAGATTTCCGCTGCTGTTTCCCATTCTGTCGTCGTGCTTATGTCCCTCTGTCCTTCTGCCGCCGTTCCAGAGACAGAATCGTGAGAAAACAAGCGTACCCTTGGCTGTTTCTCTGGAGTAAAGAGGATTGATTGCGGCGCGCGCTCGTTCATCTTACCGCGACGTTTAAGGAGAGCAGTTTTTAGGGATGGGATATTTCCAAACAGCCTCCTCTCTGTCAAGCGGCGAAGACAAATAAATTGATCCGTGAAAAATTGGACTGACGCAGCGAAGAAAGACACACACTGTGTCTACGTGCGACGAGAGGAAAGAGGCCGTGGTCTCATAACAGAAACATGTTCTGAATCAATCAGACCAGCCACCTTCATCTCATTAGAAAACTTGTCCTCTTTTGTGTAAGAAAGAACCCTGGGAGTCACTATTTGCCTCTTTGGGCTGAGAGGGGAGCGAGGGTGGGCCTCTTTACTTTTCTGTTTGAAAAAAGTTCATCTGAAAATTTGAGTGACATAACCTCTCTGGTCTCTCTCTGATCACTCTCTGGTCTCGCTCTCTGGTGGGTCTCTCTCTGGTGTGTCTCTCTCTGGTCACTCTCTGGTCTCTCTCTCTGGTCTCTCTCCAGTCACTCTCTGGTCTCTCTCTCTGATCTCTCCCCAGTCACTCTCTGGTCTCTCCCCAGTCACTCTCTGGTCTCTCTCTCTGGTCTCTCTCCAGTCACTCTCTGGTCTCTCTCTCTGGTCTCTCCCCAGTCACTCTCTGGTCTCTCTCTCTGATCTCTTCCCAGTCACTCTCTGGTCACTCTCTGGTCTCTCTCTCTGGTCTCTCTCTCTGGTCTCTCTCCAGTCACTCTCTGGTCTCTCTCTCTGATCTCTCCCCAGTCACTCTCTGGTCTCTCTCTGGTCTCTCTCTGGTCTCTCCCCAGTCACTCTCTGGTCTCTCTCTCTGATCTCTTCCCAGTCACTCTGTGGTCTCTCTCTGGTCTCTCTCTGGTCTCTCCCCAGTCACTCTCTGGTCTCTCTCTCTGGTCTAAAAATGTGACAGAAGAAAATCCATGTTGTCCACATATTTCCCGCACTTGAATACAGTCTCTCATGTGAAGCATCTTTGAGTGTCCAGACAAGCACCATATAAAACCGATGCATTCTTCTTCTTCATATTCTTATTACAATAAGACAGTAGTAGCAGTACTATATACTCTTTCAAATCCATCATGTGTCACTGTCCAGTTGTGTTCCATCGCTGCTGTGGCTCTTCGCCTCATGAGCATATTACGATCTGTTTATGAGGCTGTAAATCCTGCGCTTGTTGAACGTAGATCTCTCCATAAAACAAGGTCGGCGTCGAGCATTTGCTAATTTGCTCGGTTTAAAAACGGTGTGAGAGCGTGCGGCGACAGCGGGATGGATGCTCTGCACAAGTGGCTCTTTTTGGACGCGTCTCAAAAGCTTTTTCTTTCTCTTCAGATTGTGTGAAAGCGCGAAGGACAAACAAACACTAAGAGCTGTTTTTAGAGTAATTGGTCTGAAGCAGCAGCAGCAGCACTAGTAGAAGCAGTAGTAATAGTAGTAGTACAGTAGCAGTAGTAGTAGTAGTAGTAGTAGCAGTAGTAGTAGTAGTAGTAGCAGTAGTAGTAGTAGAAACTCAGATGTGAGTACCAGTGATGATCTGTGGGTATTGTGTATTTAGAACACTGTAAATTGTAAATCACAATATTGATTTAAATCCGTATAAAAAAGGTGAGGTGGAAATTATTTTTGCTCAGTTACACCTGTTAAGGAGGGCTGGGGTGTTTTAATTTGGTTATTTAGAAAAAAAGTGAATTTAGAAAAAAGCTACTTCAAATTATTACTAATAATATTTTGGGTTTATGAACAGAATACATGTATAACATGCCATGGTAGCTCTTAATAAAAGATTTAACTGAATATTGACTCCTGATTAATGTAAATATGCTACAGATCGATATGAGGCTGGGAGGGGTCCGGGCTGTAGATCCAGGACTGAGGCTGTAGATCTAGGACTGAGGCTGTAGATCCAGGACTGAGGCTGTAGATCCAGGACTGAGGCTGAGAGGTGCATGACAAAGGCAGCTCTCAGGCGTGGGACAGGGTGCAGATAAAAAAAGACAAGATTCAGGGTCAAGGCATGAAACAGACAATAGGACAGCTGGTGAATAGCAATGAACAGACTACAACTGAAGTCATAATGACGACAGATAAAGCAGGGGTGAGGAGATGACAGTGATGTTACCACACTTCCCCAGCAGGGGGCTCCATACGCAGCATTACTGACAATCTGTGTATTTGACTAAAAGCTTGAGCCATGAGCCGTGCATCATATGTGTCCTTTAAACCATTTACAAACTCTTTTGTCTTGCTTCAGTCGTGTCGGCCTGACCTTGTCCCGCGGTCTCTGGGGCGCGTGTCCGGCCTCGTCAAGCCTTGTCCAGCCCCGTCCTGCCGTGCGCTCTGCTAATGGGGAATAATGGCTTCTGTCTAGTGTGAGTTCTCCGGAGGGAAGCGGAGGTGGAAGTGTCACGCCTCGCTCAGACAAGCAGCGACCAGAGAGAAAACCCAGCTCCTGCCTGAAGGTCACCGGCAAAAAGGTCACAGCACGCAGAGACGAGAGCGTGGCGTGGAAAGTGACTTTAAAGTGGCTGTCGGCTGCATGTTAAATCCCCATCCACTTTTCACAGCGTTAGCACATTTTCACATTATACCTTTTATTTAAAAACTACTGTAGCGTCCCTTTGATTTTGAGTTGAAACGAGAACTAATGGTTCAATACGCCTGAGGACTGGGTCTACAGCCTCAGTCCTGGATCTACAGCCTCAGCCCTGGATCTGCAGCCTCAGTCCTGGGTCTACAGCCTTAGCCCGGGTCTACAGCCTCAGTCCTGGATCTACAACCTCAGTCCTGGATCTACAGCCTTAGCCCTGGGTCTACAGCCTCAGTCCTGGATCTACAGCCTCAGTCCTTGACTTACAGCAGGCACGTCCAAACTAAGGCCCGGGGGCCAGTTGCGGCCCGCTGTGTCATTTTATGTGGCCCTATGCCTCTCTCACCCAATATACCATTGAGGTTCATAGTGTTGTCCAGCCAACTTCCGCTTCTCCAATAAAGCCATGTTGTAGCTCATTTTGAATTAATTTATTTGTATGCACTGATATTTGTTTTTCATTGTGGCTCAAATATTTGTCTATGGCACTGATGTTGCTGGGGGGTATGGCCCCTGGGCAAGTCTGGTAAACTAAAATGGCACCCTTAGTAAAAGGTTTGGACACCCATGAACTACAGCCTCAGTCCTGATCTACAGCCTCAGTCCTGGATCTACAGCCTCAGTCCTGATCTACAGCCTCAGTCCTGGATCTACAGCCTCAGTCCTGATCTACAACCTCAGTCCTGATCTACACCCTCAGTCCTGATCTACAGCCTCAGTCCTGGATCTACAGCCTCAGTCCTGGATCTACAGCCTCAGTCCTGATCTACAGCCTCAGTCCTGGATCTACAGCCTCAGTCCTGATCTACAGCCTCAGTCCTGGATCTACAGCTTCAGTCCTGGGTCTACAGCCTCAGTCCTGGATCTACAGCTTCAGTCCTGGGTCTACAGCCTCAGTCCTGGATCTACAGCCTCAGTCCTGGATCTGCAGCCTCAGTCCTGGATCTACAGCCTCAGTCCGGGATCTACAGCCTCAGTCCGGGATCTACAGCCTCAGTCCTGAATCTACACAGTTTAAGGACAATGAAGATCTGGGACATTCATCAACATTTCTGGTTCCTATGTGTTTGTTATTATTGCATTTGCTTTTTTTGAACATTTTGATTCTGTTTTGTTGTTGTTATTGTTTTGGAGATAAAAACAAGTAACATGCGTTGTCTCCAGCTCATTGTTGTAAATTGCTTGTCACGTTCACAGGAAACAGAAACAGTTGAATCTGTAAAAAGACGGTCCTCTAAATCCTCCTGAAACACCACAAACACAGAAAACCTTTGAATCCCTCATCGCTGTAGAAAGAATCTGAGGCTCTTTAATCGTCCTCGCTCTCCCTGTGGCTCCTCACCTCTCCTCTCGCAGTAAAGAACTCGCCAGGGCTGTAGTAAAACTTTCATTTGGGAGTTTTAGAAGTTAGAGTGTGTAGGTTATATTCAAGGACAGGCCTGAATTATGGAGCGCTGGTCTGGTCAGGACACGGCCGAAATGAAAAGCAAGAGGAGGCTGTAAGCAGGAGTATGTGCGCCGCGGGGAGAACTGTAACACACGCTCCAACACAGGACATCGACGTTTCACTCACAAAGAAAACTACAGATACATACAGAAATATATCTCTTTCCTTCCCATTCCACTTGTGTTATTATTATTGCACTGTTGTCTCAGTAATGGCCACACAATATACACATTTATCCACAATATCTCTTTGATGTATCTGTGTTTGAATTTTATTTTCCAATCTATGATAGTAAATTCACTCGTTTATAGGGCGTGAAAAAGGCCAGCAGAGGTTTCTCTCTCTGCGACCAGAGAGAGACGCCAAAGAGAGACGCCAAAGAGAGAGAGCAGAGAGAGAGAGACCAGGCAGATAGACCAGAGAGAGAGAACAGAGGGAGACGCCAGAAAGAGAGAGACCAGAGAGAGAGAACAGAGGGAGAGACCAGAAAGAGACGCCAGAGAGAGAGAGACCAGAGATGGAGGCCAGAGAGAGAGACCAGCGAGAGAGAGACCAGGGAGGGACACTAGAGAGAGAAAGAGATCAGAGAAAGAAAGAGACCAGAGGTGGAAGCTAGAGATAGACCAGAGAGAGCTTGTGGATCCGATTCCATCAGCAAGAGTCCTTTATTGTTCTTTCTATTTTTATGTATTGTTTATTTGGTTGGGACAGTACATGTTCATGAACACATCACTCTGGATTGTGGCCATGGGCTAATTTTCATCCGTTGTCCCACATTCACAAACACACACTCATTCACCCTGAACTATTGCACATGTTTTTAGTGTTAGGGGAAACCGGAGCACCCGGAGGAAACCTACGCAGACATGGGGAGAACATGCCAACTCTACTCAGTTGCGACCGGGATTTGAACCCAGAACTTTCTTGCTGAGAGGCGAGAGTACTATCCACTCAGCCACCGTGCCGCCGCCGTCCTCTGCAAAGGGCAGCTACAGATTTGGCTAAAATACATACAACACATTTAAGTAAGGGATAATGTATTTTACGCAGGTCATTATCAAAAAATAAGTATGACAGGGCGCGTCGGGGTCCGCTTCCTCCCTGAAGGCTTTCCCAAAGGCTTTCCCGTGGCTATGCTAGCAACAGTTAGGCTAGAAACTTCTAAACTCGAACTCTCTGGAACTGCATGAAAACTGAAGAAAGGATTGTGAACATCAGCGGTGAGTGACCCAAACATAAACTTAATCTAAATCCATAATTCCATCCTCTGCAAATGTTCCTAAAATGTGCCGGTATCTACTTCCGGGTTTTTTCGAGATCGCCTTTTCTCGCATTACATCAGTGTTTTTGTCATGAAAACGGAAACAGTAAATTCTGAAAACTTCCGTGCACTTGTAATAAGAATGTATTTGTGTAATGTATTCTCCGATTAACATTAAATTGCGTTGATTGATTGGCATTTGCGTTTATTGAGCGTGGCTAGCTCCGGAGTGGCCGGAACTACTTCCGAGTTTTTCACGATCGCTTTTTGATGCAAAGAAATAGTATTTTTGTCATGAAGACAAGACCAGAACATTTTTAAAATTTCAGTGCACGTGTGTGAAGAATGTATATGTATAAAGTATTCTCCGATTAACATTTAAGTGTGTTGATTGAGCGTGGCTAGCTCAGGAGTGGCCGGAACTACTTGCGGAGTTATCCACGCATTTGAAATACAAGCAGAGAGTGCGTTGCCAAAGGGCAGCGGTCATTATTGTTTTGAGTAGGGCTGTCAAAATTATCGCGTTAACCGGAAGTCTGCGCATGGGAGTGGTTGCAAGCGCGGTCTGTGCTCTCAGTTGACTCACACGAACAAGTGGATAAACTCATGATTATGGACTTTTTTGATGGATTTATGTGTGAATATTGACACTTGTATATACCACGGAACTGTTTGGAACCTGGAAGCTGAAAAGGGAAGGCTCGTATCTGCGCGAGCGGAGCGGTGCCCAAAGTTTTAGCATACCAGCTAGCTAAAGCTAACAACTTATCGAGTCTGCCGAGTCTGCCACACGCAACAAGAGATGGCAAGAGGAAAAAAAGCCGCAACGGAGGACATGGAGGAGCTGAGGAGGTCAATAGACTCACTCACGGAGGCTGTGGCTGCTATACAAAAGCAAACAAAAACTGATGAAGATGTCGGAGACATTCGTAAAACACTCATTACTCTGACGGAGGAGACCACAGTGATCAAGGAGCAGCAAAACCGGATTCTACAGCTGATGGAGGAGGTGAAACAGCTGAGAATTTTAAACACCGAAAAAGACAAGAAGATTGCAGACCTGGAAAGAAGAATTGATGACTTGGAACAGTACTCGAGGGTGAATGATGTTGTCATCACGGTCTGAAAATCAAACCCAGGTCATACGCGAGGGCAGTGGCGGCCAGCGGCGGGTCAGAGGCAGAGGAGCAGGAGGCTGACTCCGCTGAACAACAGGTCGCAGCGTTCCTCCAGTCCAGGGGCATCTCTCTGGATTTGGAAGGCATAGAGGCTTGTCACCCTCTCCCTCGAAGAAGGGATAACGCGATGCCAGTGGTGATCATGCGGTTTGTCAACCGAAAGAAAAAAGTTGAGCTGCTGAAGCAAGGAAGGAAGCTGAAAGGATCAAATGTTTTTATGAACGATCACTTGACGCGGAGGAATGCTGAAATCGCACGAAGAGCCAGATTCATGAGAAAACAAAACAAAATCCAACACACATGGGTCCGGAACTGTAAAATCTACATCAAGCTAAACGGGTCACCAGAGGAAGCCAGAGTTATTGTGGTCAAGACTCTGGAAGATCTGGATAAGTTTGATTGATGCGACATCAAGGTAACAACCACTCATTCTTATGACTCACAACAACAAAACCACAACTGAACATCAGCAGTTAAGAGACAGAGTCCTGGACAATGTGTTGGGATTAAATACATTTGATCCAACAGAGCATGGGGACTATGACCCAGAGAAAGACATGGATCCAGACAGCACTTTTTTTTCTAATGTAAATGTGAATTGTAAATATTATTCTGATGATGATTATAACTCTATGGACACATTGAATGACTTATCGATTATACATTTCAACAGTAGGAGCATGTACAAAAACTTTAGTAGCATCAAGGAATATCTTGATACATTTAGAGTGCCTTTTAGTATCATAACACTATCAGAAACATGGATGAACAATGAAAAAGGGACAGATTTTTACTTTGAAGGCTATGAACTCAATTATAGAAATAGGAAAAACAAAACAGGAGGAGGTGTGGCTATTTATGTAAACAAGAA